CTCCTCAACCAATGTGGGACATCACAGTCCATCCCGCTTCAGGACCCAGTGGCCTCTCTCCGCACTTTAACAGGACCTTATTTCCTCCTCAACCAATGTGGGACATCACAGTCCATCCCGCTTCAGGACCCAGTGGCCTCTCTCCGCACTTTAACAGGACCTTATTTCCTCCTCAACCAATGTGGGACATCACAGTCCATCCCGCTTCAGGACCCAGTGGCCTCTCTCCGCACTTTAACAGGACCTTATTTCCTCCTCAACCAATGTGGGACATCACAGTCCATCCCGCTTCAGGACCCAGTGGCCTCTCTCCGCACTTTAACAGGACCTTATTTCCTCCTCAACCAATGTGGGACATCACAGTCCATCCCGCTTCAGGACCCAGTGGCCTCTCTCCGCACTTTAACAGGACCTTATTTCCTCCTCAACCAATGTGGGACATCACAGTCCATCCCGCTTCAGGACCCAGTGGCCTCTCTCCGCACTTTAACAGGACCTTATTTCCTCCTCAACCAATGTGGGACATCACAGTCCATCCCGCTTCAGGACCCAGTGGCCTCTCTCCGCACTTTAACAGGACCTTATTTCCTCCTCAACCAATGTGGGACATCACAGTCCATCCCGCTTCAGGACCCAGTGGCCTCTCTCCGCACTTTAACAGGACCTTATTTCCTCCTCAACCAATGTGGGACATCACAATCCATCCCGCTTCAGGACCCAGTGGCCTCTCTCCGCACTTTAACAGGACCTTATTTCCTCCTCAACCAATGTGGGACATCACAGTCCATCCCGCTTCAGGACCCAGTGGCCTCTCTCCGCACTTTAACAGGACCTTATTTCCTCCTCAACCAATGTGGGACATCACAGTCCATCCCGCTTCAGGACCCAGTGGCCTCTCTCCGCACTTTAACAGGACCTTATTTCCTCCTCAACCAATGTGAGACATCACAGTCCATCCCGCTTCAGGACCCAGTGGCCTCTCTCCGCACTTTAACAGGACCTTATTTCCACACCCTTATAAATAGTGTTTTGTTCTCCTCAACCAACGTGGGACATCACAGTCCACCCCCTTTGAGACCTAGCGTCCTCGCTGACACTCTTTCCTTTCTCCAATCGATGTGGGACCGCCACCAAATCCACCCCCTTTGGGGCCTAGCGTCCTTACTGGCACACTACATCATGTCTACCCCCCTTCGGAGAAGAGCGAGTAGGCTAGCACATCGTCCGGAACCTGACTCTGATACCATTTGTAACGACCCAGATTCAATGTTAGCAGATATTGTTCTCTTTGGGGTTTTCCTCAAGGCTTTAAAACGTGTATGCGAGGGGAAGGTTTCCACACCCTTATAAATGATGTCATGTTCTCCTCTACAACCAATGTGGGATTATATATTTAATATATGTGAAAGTCGATCAAAGTTTCAATATAATATATTCAAATCTTCACTTAATTTTAGAAAGGAAAAATAAATCAAATCATGTAACATGTTATTCGACATTCGAATTCCATACTTTACTTTATTGTAATGAATAAGCAATATATTAAAATGCATATTCCCACCATTTTAAAGAATTGAATATTTGTAATGGGTCACGAGAATACTCTTTCCTTTTTTTTTAATTAATTGACGTTTTAAATAGTAATGATTCGAAATTTTAATCTCGACTTTTTTTTTAATTAATTGACGTTTTAAATAGTAATGATTCGAAATTTTAATCTCAGTCGAAATTATTGAATCTTCAACTTAAGAACCATCGAACTAAAAAATAAATTTTATAAAGCAAAAATGTAGAAATTTTAGCCGTAAGCTCTAGACCATTTTAAGATTTGAATCGACAATGACACCGAAACCTCGAACTCGAAGGGTAAAAAATGGGCCGAATTGAACTCGACTTAGCTAAAGACGACATGTCGTTTGAAATCATCACATAACATAATATTGGATAGTTTTCTCAATAATTATAAATTTGAGAAAAATAAAATTAGCAAAAAAAAAAAAGCTTTAGGCTATAATCGTGCCGTGGAAGCAAAGGTTTGCGTGTAAGAAACAAAAATTGGAGTTTTCCATTATTGGGTGAAAGTGAAAATAAAAAAAGACACTGTAAATGGAAATTACCCCAACGTTTTCCTTTCCCGAAAATTACAGATTCTGGTAGAACAGTAAAAACCAAAATTCCTACCTTCCTCACTCTCTTTTATTTTTGTATATTTTTATAATTTTACTTTTAAATGGACGATGTCTCTCATACCATATTAATAATATTGTATACTCTGAGCATAAGCTCTCATGACTTTATTTTGGACTTCTCAAAAGACATTGTACTAATCGAGATAGTATTAATTGATTATAAACTCATGATCATTTCCTCTAAAACGTCTCGTACTAATGATATATTGTCCTTACTTATATAGCTATAATGAACTTTTTCTCAAACTCCGAGCAACCTACCTTATTCAAAGCCTATTTTTTAACATATGTTGTAACGGTCAACATTCACTCTTTGCATTTTAAATATAACTCTTTTACCTTTGAATCCACTTTTTTACTTTGTCATATATTTACTCCAAAAGTCACCCCTTTGTATGGACAAACAACATCGAATATTCATTATATCTTTTTTCTAGGTCTTCGAGCTTGAATTTATAATTAATACCAATATGAACACACACGTATATTTCCTTACAATTAATTATAAATTTGAATTATTATTTATATAAATTTGTTAGATATAAAATAATAAAAAATTACCGATTAAATTTGTAATTTAAATGTATTAATTTCTAGAATTATTTCACAATGAGGTTAGAATATATTTAAAAAAAAAAAAACTTGGGTAAATAATATATTATTATTTTTTTTATAAAAAAATTTAAAAAAGGAAAAAAGAAAAAAAGAAAAATAGTAGGAAGAAGTTTGACCTAATTTAGACCCCATTTATTGCACGATCCAAAGGATGAGTGGATGATAATGGGAACCACTAGCTCGCAATCTTGGTACGTAAGATACACGCAGGGGGGGTGAGGGGTTGCAATGGGTGGGGCGTGAAGTTATTCCAGAAGAGCGTGGAGTTGCCAGATCCTGTCGGCGCGTCGCCTTAACTTTCATCTCTCCCATTTAGAGATAAGCCTTTGTGTGGGGTCCTCCATCGTTGAATGGTAAGCATGTCCTGTCCCTCCACCCCCCCTTCCTATTTTCTCCATTTTTTTTTTCTCCTTATTTTTTATTTTATTAAATTTTGAGAATTTAAAATATTTTTTTGTCTAGTTTTTATTTAATTCTATTCTTGAAATTTAATTTAATTTCTATTTATTCTCAATGTTTCAAGAATTTGTGTTTAACTTTTTATTGATAATTTTAATTATGTTTAAAAAAATTAATTTACATTGAATTCTTATCGTTATTAAATTCAATTAAAAAAATGATGTTTCATTTAATTAATTGAAAGTCAACCAGGTAAAAAATGTAATATTTTAAAATTTAAAGATTAAATGAAAAATTAAACTTAAGACTCGAAGGTAAGAATGTAAACTAAGGTGTATACTTAATTTAGAACCATGAACCCAACCCGACCAATACTCAATAGAACAGACGGAAAATTTCCATCAGTGATAACATTAGCTTTCTAGTTTCCATTTCGTTTCGTTCTTCGTTTTCCATCACCTTTTGGCTTTTGTTTCGTGGAGTGAGTAGTAGAGAGTTTGAGAGCATTGCCTCTGGTTTGAGAGATCAGAGCAGAGGGTTCAATTACCAATTACCTTCTGTCTAATCTTGACTCGGTCTCACTCTCGAAGTTAGTATTCAGTTCTCAGGTTCTTGCCCCAGTTCAACTTTAGCTCTCGAGTTCATGTTTATTGCCTCCTAATTGCTCACCTTTAACCTTAAGTACTTCAACATCAGAGTTCTTCCTAACGACCTGTACCCAACTCGAAAATAGAAGGTTGAGTTGTGAATCAATTTTAGGTTGAGTTGCCTTGCTCCCGAAGTCGGTATTCAGTTCTCGAGTTCTCGTCTCGATTCAGCTTCAGCTCTCGGGTTTACGTTTATCATCTCCTAGTTGCTCAGCTTCAACCTCAAGTGCTTTAACATAAGAGTTTTTCTTCCGTACAACTCGAACTCAACCCAATCCAAAAATAAAAGGGTTGAGTTGTGAATCAATCCATTTAGATCCAAAAAATTCTTTCGACCCAACCCATGTATACTTCTATATAAAACATTCTCAAATTGAGAGACCAATTTAAAACTAAATTGAAAAACATACACTAAATTAAAGCTCGATGAATATATATTTTTCTTTACTATTAACCCTTTGAAAAATATTTTCTTCAAATTTATTTTTATTGGCCTATTTGTACTTTACTTACTTCTAGCTTCTAAGAGAGAATTATTCTCATAGACCAACACGAGACATAGCATTATTCTTATTCAGATATAATATCGGTTTATTAATGTACTTTTCACTCGAATGTTACAAAAAAAAAATTAAACTTATAAATACGAAATTGAAACTAAACAAGAAAGTCGAGAAATTTAAGATGAAAGTAAGGGGCAAAAAAGGAAAGAAAAAATATAGATGTTTTGAACACAAAATCTCCCAAACTTCCATTGATCCATTTATTAAATTTTCACACACATTCTCTCTTTCTCCATCTTTCAAGTTCATTCATCTAAGCTTTTCACGTCCCATCACCCAAACGCTCTCCTCTCTCCCTCCCCTTCCCACATCTCCTAAATTCCACAACACAAATTAAAAAATAAAAAATTTTAAATTTTAAATTTTAAAAAATTAAAAAAATTAAAAATTAAAAAGCCCTTTTTTTTTTTCTTCCAAAAAAAACAGACAATCCCACCACCACATCAACGCTCTCAACCTTTCCCGTGAATCCATTTTTTTTCTTTCCATCTCTTCCCTTAAAAAATTTCATGATTTTGCCCAAACCCCAACAACCCAATTAAGTTGCTCCTCCCTTAATGGATTCCGTGACTGAATCCGGCGGTGGTGGGTCGTCGGAGCCCACGGGGGAGGGCTCGTCAGCTGGTGGCTCAGCACCGTTGGCGGCGGCGGCCGCGGCAGCTCCACCGAGCCGGTATGAATCTCAGAAGAGAAGGGATTGGAACACGTTTTTGCAGTACTTGAAGAACCACAAGCCGCCACTGTCTTTAGCGCGTTGCAGTGGCGCTCACGTGATCGAATTCTTGAAGTACTTAGACCAGTTCGGGAAGACTAAGGTCCATGGATCGGGCTGCCCGTATTTCGGTCATCCTAACCCCCCTGCTCCTTGCCCCTGCCCGCTCAAGCAAGCTTGGGGCAGCCTCGACGCCTTGATCGGCCGCCTTAGAGCCGCCTACGAGGAGAACGGCGGCCGCCCCGAATCCAACCCATTCGCCGCACGTGCCGTCAGGATTTATCTCCGTGAGGTCCGCGAAGCTCAAGCCAAAGCCAGAGGGATTCCCTACGAGAAAAAGAAGCGGAAAAGAGCCGCCGCCAATGTGTCGGTGCCTCCACCAACTGATGTTAGCTTGGCGGGGAGTAGTAGCTCCGCCACCGTCGGTGCCGATATTCAACCGGAAACAACCGCTGCTGGTGATCAAACTGGTGACGCTCCGCCGTCCACAACCGCCGCTTCCACCACCGTATAGTCGCTTCTACTGGTTTTTCCTTCAATTACTTTCTTTTTTTTTTTTTTTTTTTTTTTTTTTTTT